AAGCCACCAAAAATGACACTAATTGTTAATGTCATAAGCACCTCTCCGACTCACTTGTACAAGTGTGGATACATAAACCCAGGGGACAGCATACTAAACAATATGATAGTGTGACAAGAACACGCCTATCTCAAAAAGAAGGTTTCTAAAAGATCCACGCGGAGTAGTATGAATTCAAATGAATTTAACAATACTTTATTTGATCACATAGATCATGGGGAGGTTAAACATGAGCACGGTGTACATATGAAAAAAATAAAATCATGTTTAAAAACACTTAGCGTCTTCAATTTAGGGTCATCTTAGCCAACAGAGCACCATATAAGGCAGAGTAGTGTAATGATGGAATAGTTATCCTGGATTTCCGTAGGTTTCCTGCTTAATATTTGTGTGAACCGTATATTCAGTGGGTGTGTTCCCAGTATATGTCAGGGACCTCCTGGAATGTACAAGCTGGAACACAAAAATACATGGTATGTATCTAGCAATATGGAAACCAAATCACATCCAAAATTTACCAGGCCTCCCTCCACAATAGTCAATGGATACTACTGTTACCTTCTCAGAGGGAGACTATCATACCCGCCTCTCAAATGTAGGGACTTCCTGGATAGCCACCCCAAATGGAACAAGATCCACAGTACCAAATGATTCTGAGGTTATACATAGAAAAAGATAATAAATGTGTAGATCATGGGCATCAGGTAACCCCGAAAACAAAACACACATAGAGATGTGGATATATTACCATCAATGAGGATCAAGAAGACTCCTGTCGACTTGAACTAAGATCAGGTCCTTGATGCTTTTCCAAAAATGCATATGGGGGTGAGGGACCAGGTATACACGATGCGTGGATTTCAAACACATATAGTGTTTTTTTTTTTGCTGTGACATAGCCACATCCTTATAAAACCGCAAATAACCTTCTCAAATTGAGCAATTTTTGGAAACCCTTTACTGGGTATATTAAATTCAGGTATCTACGGCCTGCTATATGCTATATACACACTATATGTGTTTGAAATCCACGCATCGTGTATACCTGGTCCCTCACCCCCATATGCATTTTTGGAAAAGCATCAAGGACCTGATCTTAGTTCAAGTCGACAGGAGTCTTCTTGATCCTCATTGATGGTAATATATCCACATCTCTATGTGTGTTTTGTTTTCGGGGTTACCTGATGCCCATGATCTACACATTTATTATCTTTTTCTATGTATATCCTCAGAATCATTTGGTACTGTGGATCTTGTTCCATTTGGGGTGGCTATCCAGGAAGTCCCTACATTTGAGAGGCGGGTATGATAGTCTCACCTCTGAGAAGGTAACAGTAGTATCCATTGACTATTGTGGAGGGAGGCCTGGTAAATTTTGGATGTGATTTGGTTTCCATATTGCTAGATACATACCATGTATTTTTGTGTTCCAGCTTGTACATTCCAGGAGGTCCCTGACACATATACTGGGAACACACCCACTGAATATACAGTTCACACAAATATTAAGCAGGAAACCTACGGAAATCCAGGATAACTATTCCATCATTACACTACTCTGCCTTATATGGTGCTCTGTTGGCTAAGATGACCCTAAATTGAAGACGCTAAGTGTTTTTAAACATGATTTTATTTTTTTCATATGTACACCGTGCTCATGTTTAACCTCCCCATGATCTATGTGATCAAATAAAGTATTGTTAAATTCATTTGAATTCATACTACTCCGCGTGGATCTTTTAGAAACCGTCTTTCCAGTCTTCCCAGAGGAATTACTCCCAAGGCCCCAGACTGAATCATGGCGCTCCCTGGTTTCTGTCCCTCCGGTACTAGCCTTCCGGACCCCCATCATACCAGTGAGGGTACTATACAACAACCATCCCCGCAAAGCTAGAATGGTCGGGAGCACCCCCACTGGACACTGATAAGAACAGATACTACACTTGATCTTAGCCAAAAGGCCGAGAAGTGATTTTTTTTCTCATTTTGTCTCTCATAGTTGAGGTCTACCTATGGTGCCAATTACAAGCCTCTCTCATCTTTTTAAGTGGGAGAACTTGCACAATTGGTGGCTGACTAAATACTTTTTTGCCCCACTGTATTAAATATTGTAATCTTATCTGCCTATGGCAGGTAGGTAATTTTATTTTACACCCACCCACTTTCCTTTATCTCCTCCAGTGCTTTTCATTAGTCCATTATAACTGGACAACCAACATCAAGCAGGTAAAATAAGAAGCAATAAAGAGAATTCTCAGAGACTATGTAATGTTCCCTTTTATAGGTCTTTATTATATATGACATTCACCAAATAATATTTGTACATCAAGTATGAAAAACTGGGCATGGTAAAAATATAGAAACATTTTAGGATGTTCAAATGAAATGTTCTGTCAGGGAGAACTAAGTTCAGCTGCTGTTTTTTATTCCTATTCCTTAATAAGATGGGACATACAATCTCATCGAGTCACACATGAGTCATAGAGACAATCTAATAACCAATTTGTTCACTGCTGGCAAACTTTCTCGGAGTTAGGGGTCTCCTGGAGCAAACATGAAGCAAACCACAAAATGAGATGGGAGGAAATTCCCTGATATATAAGATGTCTGTGAAAATCTTCTTTTTGCATATGTAAGGATTATTTTTCAAAATTTTTAGAATGAAACCTATATCAGTGTCCGCATACCTGCATAAAACTATACAAATAATGTGATATGAAACAGTGTTATCCTTCACCCCATTTTCACAAAAATCTATGTGTGTATGGCTGTTAAACTATATAATAAATTCTGTAAACAATATTTCTTCTATATATATTTACAGGTAACGCCTTCTGCTCTCTGTCAATGCCACACAAAGTATCAGGCATATTAATAAACAAATGATTGGTTTTACATAGGCCTCAAGGATGCTGGAATTCAGCTCATTTGGTATGACTGAGAAAGGCAGGGTACAAAGAAACTTAATAAAAACAGAAAAAATGTAACAGACAATGGAATAAAATGAAAATACCAAAAGGCAATGAAAAAGAAAGGAAATGGAGATTACAATGGAAATCAAAGAGAAAGGAGAAAAGTAAGAAAAAAAAGGAAAAAGGAAGGGAAAAAGGAAAAGGGCAACAGAAAAAAGGAAAAGGATAAGGAAAAAAAGGGAAAAGGGCAAGGGAAAAAGGAAATGGATAAGGAAAGGAAGGAAAAGGAAAATGGTAGGAAAAAGGAGAGGGAAAAAAGTAAAAAAGAGGTTAGGGGAAAAAAAAAAACAGAAAAGAGTAACGGAAAAAAGGTCAAAGAAAAAGGATAAGGGAAAAAAGGAAAAGGGTAAAGGAAATAGGAAAAGGGTAAGGGTAAAGGTTAAAGGAAAAAAGGAAAAGGGCAAGGAAAAAAAGAAAAAGCATAAGAGGAAAAAAAGGAAAGGGAAAAAGGTAAGAGGAAAAAAGGTAAGGGAATAAGGAAAAGGATGAGGGGAAAAAAGGAAGAGGTGTAAGGGAAAAAGGAAAAGGGTAAGGGAAAAAATGAAAGGGAAAAAGGTAAGGAAGAAATAAGGTAAGGGGGAAAGGGGAAGGGGGAAAAGGAAAAGAGGAGAGGAATTGCCAGGTAAAGAATTGAGGAGGTAAAAGAGCAAGATAAAAAAGAAGAAAGATACACCGTAATGTAGCATGAAAGATTTTTACATACTGTGCTAACATTTTTAAAATTCTACAGAAAAGTCCCATGGATATGCTGATGTAACATATCCTCTTGTATGACGTACTTAACCCTTTCAAGTTATACAATAGACAACTGTCTATGAGAATGTCAAATGTAAGTTTTCTCCTGCTGTCATTCTGGCTTAAACCCAAAAGAAACAAAAACACATTTTAAACTTTTCTGAAATGTCTTACAAACTGTGTTCAATTATTAAATGCCTAAATCATTCAAAAATTGATTGGAAATGTCAGAACATAAAGACTTTATATTTTAGATTTACTTATGTCTATAAATATAAACCTAAATACTGATCTGACGTGATCCTTCTTTGACTCAAGAACTTGGAAATGGAAAAAAGGAGCAGCACAGGTGTAAAAATGGGGTGAAATGTTTAATGTAATGAATACATTTATTAGTACTTGTCATGCACTGATCTGCAGTAGCTTTCCTCAGCTATGGTTAGAGGTCATTTGTGAATGGGTCAGACATCTGGGACACAGTTGGGCTTTGAACAGTCAGCTGGGGAACACTCACTGGTGCATCTTCCTGATGGTTGTCCCTATGTTTTCTGCTGTCTCCTGTGGACTCCTTTTTACCTTCTGCTGTGTTCCTTCTCAGTTGACGCTTGTTGTGGTCCTCCAGTTGGTGCAATGGTCATGGCATCTGGAATATGGGGGAGACCCGAGGGTGTTTTTTTTTATTTTGTGTAGCTTCCTCTTTGAAATCTATACCGGATCCTCATCATGAAGTACATACAGTATTTTTAGGGGAAACCTAACACAGTTTTTTTTTGTGGAGCCCCCATTAACAGCCATACCAGAACCTTATCCAGGATAAGTATCTAGTATAGAAAAAGAGGATCACCAGAAGTTTTGTTTTTACCAACAGAATAAAGCAGCTGAGAGCTGTCATTTACTGGCAATTTTATCCTGCATATTTTTCCTTTGTAAATGTCTATTTTTCTGTAGTACATTGTTATACATCCCACAGATACACCACCTCACAGGAAGGTTAAGGGCATCCCCCAGGCATGTTATTTAACCACTAGCGTACAGGGCACTTATACCCCCTTCCTGCCCAGGCCAGCTTTCAGCGCTGTTGCACTTTGAATGACAATTACGGTCATGCAACACTGTACCCATATGAAATTTTTATCATTTTTTTTGTGACAGATAGAGCTTTATTTTGGTGGTATTTAATCACCTCTGTTTTTTTTTTTCTTAAACAAACCAAAAACCACTGAACATTTAGAAAAAAATCAAGTTTTTCTTAGTTTTTGTTAAAATTTTTTGTAAATAAGTGATTTTTCTCCTTTACTGATGTGCGCTAATGAGGCTGCACTGATGGGCACTGATAGGCTGCACTGATGGACACTGATGGGTGGCACTGATTGGCACTGATGAGGAGGCAGTGGTAGGTGGCACTGATGGGCATTGATGGGCATCACTGATGGGCACTGAAAGGCAGCACTCTTATATGGCACTGATAGGCGGCACTGATAGACGGCACTGACTGGCACTGTTAGGTGGCACTGACTGGCACTGTTAGGCAGCACTGATAGGCAGCACTGATGGGCACTGATAGGCGGCACTGATGCACACTGATAGGTGGCACTGACTGGCACTGATAGGTGGCACTGACTGGCATTGATAGGTGGCACTGACTGGAACTGATGAGTGACACTGAAAGGCAGATCAGATGGCCACTGATATGTGGCATTGATGTGGCACTGATGGGCACTGGCAGGTGGCATGGATGAGCACTGACAGCTGGCACTGATGGACACTGACAGGTGGCACTGTTGGGGCTACACTGATCATCAGGGCACACTGATCATCAGCATGACAGCTTGTGAGGAGAGAAATGCCGATAACTGGCATTTCCCTGTTTACATGCGATCAGCTGTGATTGGACAAAGCTGATCACATGACCGAGCCGACATCTTCGGCTCTTTCCATGGATCTGTGATCCGCTGTGTCCGAGGGACACAGCGCACCGCCGATCGCACGTTGCGCGCTCCTGGAGCCGCGCATGTGCGGTTAGAATGGGAGGTCGTCATATGACGTCCTCCCAGAACGAGAGAACCGCCTTGCTCCCGTCATTGTACTATATGGCGGATGGGAGGCGGTTAAAGGAATTTGGCATTTTTTAATGTTTCATGGTAAGCATTATTAAAATTGCTACTTCCTGCCAAATTGATTTTTTTTTTTAACTTTTGGTTTGGTACATGTTTCCCAGGGCAGTGCCCATTCCCCATATTTTTTCACAATCCTTTGCTTATTAGCCTTGAAAATGAACATTACTGTAAACAAAAAATAATTTTCTTTACAAGCAGCATTCCACATTAAAAATTACACTACCAAAAAGTGTTTGCTGTAAAGTGCCTCTAGCATTGCTCCTGTTTCTTTTTGCCGGAGGCTCCCATTTTGCTAAATCCCAGAGCCCCTGAGCAGCAGTAAATCATAATATTGTCAGCAGAGCGTCCCCTAGTGGCTCTGATTTTTGGCACAGTGTCAAAAAATAGATAGCAACTGAGCACGAGCAGAGCAGGGTGAGATAGTGTATTACTGGATTTTAAACAGTATGGGCGCTTATTTTTTTATAGTTTTACAAAGCTATACCTGCAGAAGGAGTCAGCCTGAAGTTATCTAGCAGGACTTAATTTTCTGACTAAAGTTCCACTTTAAGGGAGAAGTACAGCCAAAGCTCATTTTGGATCACAGAGGTGCAGTTTGTTCTGCACTCCTGTGACCTGTTTTCAGCTGACAGCGGGCTAAAGTCGGCTGACGTCACTCAGCCGGTTCAGGCTGGGGAAAGATCCTGACTTTAAATTTGGGGTCCAACCAGATGTCTGGACCGGCACCTGGCTCAGCAGTCCCCTGGGAGCCTGAGCCAGCCAATCCTGCCCCTTCTACAAGTCCAGCGCTTCAGTAAGCCTGATGTGTTTATGAAGCACTGAGAACTGAGCGATCAGTGGTCTTTCATCTGAGTTATTAGTCTTAGAGCCAGCCGGGGACAGATGCAGCATCAGACCGATGCTGCATCCACCTAGATAAGTATTGTTTCTAATGAAAACAAAAAAATTAAACTTCTCTGTTAAGTTTTGTCTCCCAGCAACTTCAATTGGGTTTGGATTTGGCACCAGAACCTCAGTATAGTTTAACGAATCTGCCCCAAACCGAACTAAGGTACTTCAGCTCCTCACTAGTGACAAGGTCTCTTTATGAACATTTTCAGTGATAGATGCAACACAATATCATTTTCAGCCATATATTCATAAGAATTAGTCTGCATTCCTTTCCTGATAAATTTCCCAATTTGTCGTCTTCTGCATGAGTTTTCCTTTAATGACAGGTTCCCCCATAAAAATATGAATTGCTGTATTAAATGAATGACATGACTGAAATTCATGTGTATTGCAGAGTAAGCAGAGCCAGGAGCCCTGGCCCAGCCTCAGATATTTATCACATAGTGGGTGTACGCTATTGGGAACTATATAAAAATTCTTTAAGGTTACCTTAGCTTAATGGTGTTCTTCCCGTTCACTCAGCATTTCTCCCCTTATTACAAACATCTGCTGGGAAATAAATTAGGTTTTAGATTTGCAAATGACATATTTGGCTTGGAGAACACTTTGCTCATTTCATTTAACAAATACTTATGTTTAATCAAGTTTTTAATTCCAGAAACATTACGGCCCCTCATGCTAAATAACCGATTCATTTTAAAAAGGTTATGTAGTTAATGGAATCGAATAATGTAACAGCGTTGCTGTTTGACCCTGTAGTAAATGAGCTTCTCCCGTTCCATTTTGGATATACGACACAGTATTTCTTGATTTAACTTTGGCACAGCTTTTCCGATTTCATAAACTTATACCAGATGAACCTTTTCATATTTCCTTAATCTGTTCCTCACTCCCCCCAAACATGACTTAACATCAGTCCATTCAAGAAAAATTTCAGGACTTATGTCAGTTAAAGAAAAACTCCAGGCGAACATTAAAATATCTAGTTAGTCTTCTTACATATACATACAGTATATATGTTTAAATAAGCAGTGATGTATGTGAAGCTAAACCTTTTATTTTCTTAGTTTTGGATAAAGTGGGAAAGCATCAGAAACCCTGTCAGGTTTATATAGGTTTTCCGAGGACGCTCTAGAGAGATTTCCCCTCATTGCCTAGATATTATTATAATACAGGATTTATATAGCGCCAACAGTTTGCTCAGCGCTTTACAATATAAAGGGAGACAATACAGCAACAATACAGTTCAATACAAGAGGGATAGGAGGGCCCTGCTCCTTGGAGCTTACAATACATATATATATATATATATATATATATATATATATATACACACAGTATATATATATATATATATACATATATATATATATATATATATATACAGTGGGGCAAAAAAGTATTTAGTCAGCCACCAATTGTGCAAGTTCTCCCACTTAAAAAGATGAGAGAGGCCTGTAATTGGCATCATAGGTAGACCTCAACTATGAGAGACAAAATGAGAAAACAAATCCAGACAATCACATTGGCTGATTTGGAAAGAATTTATTTGCAAATTATGGTGGAAAATAAGTATTTGGTCACCTACAAACAAGCAAGATTTCTGGCTCTCACAGACCTGTACTTTCTTCTTTAAGAGGCTCCTCTGTCCTGCACTCATTACCTGTATCAATGGCACCTGTTTGGACTTGTTATCAGTATAAAAGACACCTGTCCACAACCTCAAACAGTCACACTCCAAACTCAACTTTGGTGAAGACCAAAGAGCTGTCGAAGGACACCAGAAACAAAATTGTAGACCTGCACCAGGCTGAATCTGCAATAGGCAAGCACTTGGTGTGAACAAATCGACTGTGGGAGCAATAATTAGAAAGTGGAAGACATACAAGACCACTGATAATCTCCCTCAATCTGGGGCTCCACGCAAGATCTTACCCCGTGGGGTCAAAATGATCACAAGAACAGTGAGCAAAAATCCCAGGACCACATGGGGGGACCTAGTGAATGACCTGCAGAGAGCTGGGACCAACGTAACAAAGGCTACCATCAGTAACACACTACGCCGCCAGGGACTCAGATCCTGCAGTGCCAGATGTGTCCCCCTGCTTAAGCCAGTACATGCCTGGGCCCGTCTGAAGTTTGCTGGAGAGCATTTGGATGATCCAGAAGAGGATTGGGAGAATGTCATATGGTTAGATGAAACCAAAATAGAACTGTTTGGTAGAAACACAACTCGTTGTGTTTGGAGGAGAGAGAATGCTGAGTTGCATCCAAAGAACACCATACCTACTGTGAAGCATGGGGGTGGCAACATCATGCTTTGGGGCTGTTTCTCCTCAAAGGGACCAGGACAACTGATCCATGTACAGGACAGAATGAATGGGGCCATGTATCGTGAGATTTTGAGTGCAAACCTCCTTCCATCAGCAAGGGCAGTGAAGATGAAACGTGGCTGGGTCTTCCAACATGAATATGGTTCCAAACATACTGCCCGGGCAACGAAGGAGTGGCTTCGTAAGAAGCATTTCACGGTCCTGGAGTGACCTAGCCAGTCTCCAGATCTCAACCCCATAGAAAACCTTTGGAGGGAGTTGAAAGTCTGTGTTGCCCAGCGACAGCCCCAAAACATCACTGCTCTAGAGGAGATCTGCATGGAGGAATGGGCCAACATACCAGCAACAGTGTGTGCTAACCTTGTGAAGACTTACAGGAAACGTTTGACCTCTGTCATTGCCAACAAAGGATATATAACAAAGTATTGAGATGAACTTTTGATATTGACCAAATACTTATTTTCCACCATAATTTGCAAATAAATTCTTTCCAAATCAGCCAATGTGATTGTCTGGATTTTTTTTCTCATTTTGTCTCTCATAGTTGAGGTCTACCTATGATGCCAATTACAGGCCTCTATAATATTTTTAAGTGGGAGAACTTGCACAATTGGTGGCTGACTAAATACTTTTTTGCCCCACTGTATATGTTTAGGCAGTTTGCCTACAAGTATGGGTTTTCTTCTAGCGTGCCAGTTAGCCTGCCCAGGTGGGTAAGAGGTTAACCTATATTGGACTCCTTCCTGGGCTTTCTAGACCCTGCCTTCCTACCCTTTGTGATATAAAAGGGGGAGAAAAGTTGGGTCCAGGGGGCCTTTTTCCTGCTACTTGCCGTGATCAACATGGGACACTATTAGAGGTTGCTGTGCCTAATAGTACTTCAGAACACCGGAAGATTGAAGAAACTGTCAAGCTTTGGAAGATGCCACTTATGGATTACCATCTTTGTTAAGGTATGCCCGGGCAACTCAGGTTAGATAAGGTTGTAATCATGTTACACTGAAATGTTCTGTTGGACTTTGCTACAAGAAATCTTCAGGCTTATCAGAAGAACAGGGTCTGTAACACACAATGGGGTATGAAGTAAGGCCGCTGCAAAAGGTTAACTCTGCATCACAAGTCGGAGGAGGAATGCAGCTGCTAGGAGTGACCAGTAACTAGTGCAAAGTTCACAGCATCCAGTCAGAAGCATGGCACGTGGCAATGGTGACGGTTCCTCCAGTAGCGAGGGGTCAGTGGTTTGGCTCCCTTCCTAGCGGTAGGTTTCCCCAAAAGCATCTGGAACTGAACCTGTGGTACGGAGGTCTAATGCACTGGACCATATGGTACGAGTGTGAAGAAGTTAAGTGAGAGTATGCATGAGGTCAGTGCTAGAGGCTTGGTGAGACCCCA